CAGAGTATAACATATAAAGAGTCAAGATGTGAGCGGAATGTCCTCTCCTTTCTGCCCTTTAATCTCCGATTTCGAAGGGCCAAGCAGAAAAGCCCCGGATTGCTGTGCAGTTGGGGAAACCCCGCTGAGACGCTCTCCGTCGATTTGACCCCTCATACCTGTACAGATTGAAGGTCTGTGCGCTGATATTGAGATAACCAGGAGATCGTCAAGGTTGTAGATAGCTTGAAAAGAAGTTCGTCCGTCCCCAGGATCAAAATCGATCACCCTTAGGCACTCAGGCACCAAGGTGACTACTGTTGAGGTTTACGTTTACAATGATAGAACGAGATGCATCGAAAGAGATGGAATGGAACATTCTAGTTACAACCGCTCCACTTCCGAATATCCGCATGACACCGTATGTGGCGTTATTCCAACAACTACGGAACAAAATCGTATGACCAATCCGTCTCGCAGTTACATGGCATTACTAATCAACACTCACCCTAATGACACTAACTCCAACAAACTAATTCCAATCTCCTAATAAGATATTCCTAACCAACCTAATATGAAGTTCCACCAGACTAAAAATGACCATATCGCAGACCTGGACGTATGGGATGAATAAGGCAGGAATCACGAGCAAACCCGGAAATCTCGTGTGCGCAGTACGAAGTGTTAGGTACGACGCCCTATGCGTCGTACGATTCGAGCGATGTCCAGTCGTGGTTCGAATTGTGAGGATCGTGATCCAAATGGACAAAGCGAGTGTGGGAGGTGAGGAGAGATACATACAGAGTGCGAAGTGTGTACAAGTCAAATTCGTAGACAGTTCTTCTCGTGCGTATCACGTGGTAGGGTCTTTGTAAGGAAGTCCGCGCCTTGCAATTGGGACTGTATGTATTCAAGTTTCAATTCACCACTGTATATCTTCTCACAGATGTAATGATGTCATACGCCTGTATGCTTCCATTGAGCATGCGTACCAGGATCGTGTGCGAGTCGTATCACACTTTGATTATCGCAATTCAGTTGTGTTGTGACTTGCTGGAAACCGAGTTCAGTCAATAAACTTTGTATCCATAATGACTTCATAAGCAGCTTCTGTGGTTGCGATGTATTCCACATCCATCGTAGACTGCAAGATCATAGGTTGTCTTTGAGATTGCCATTGAATTGAGCGATTGCAGACCTTGAATAGGTAGCCAGTGGTAGACCTTTGTGTTTCCGTACAACCAGCATAATCCGCATCAACCCATCCTTCAAGTTGATATGTTACTCCCCCGAGCTTGAGAGGGTAGTCTTTCGTATGTACGAAATATGACATCACACACTTCACAAGTGCGAGATGCGTTTTGGTTGGCTTGGCTGAGAATTGAGCAAGATATGGTGTCGCAAAGCATACATCAGGTCGTGTCGAACTTGCAATCCACATCAATGATCCAATGATCTTGAGATATGGAGTCGTAGCTTTGAGCTGTATCAAAGTGGTGTAAAGATCCTCTACATGTTGTGGGAGGGGAGTACCGTAGGCTCAAACCGCAACCGAGTTCTCTGCAGTTGCACGTTCAATATACGCTGGTTGCCATAGGTGAATCGTATGGTTTGTACAATCAGGAACCACCTTGAGCCCTAGTATCTGTGTGACGAACTACGTCGTGACACCTGGAGATCCCACCAACAACGACCCTCCTTTGACCATCAAACCTCCATCAATTCTCGACCTCTTTGGTTTACACGTATCCTAGGACATCTTAGACCAACCACGACAAAGTTAGGCGAAGTTAGACAGGTTAAGAGTGAAGGGAACCGAGGTACGACGAGGTTAGGGGAAGTTAGGTTGACTAGGGATGGAGGAAGCAGAGGTACGGCGAAGTTAGACGAGGTTAGAGGATCGGGTGTTCGGTGGTTTGGGGAAGTTGGCCAAAGTGCGTTGAAGCGCGGATGGGTTGGATGAACATGTAGGAGTGGTGGATACATTTAGCTGAGAAGATTGCTGAAGTTCTTCAGTGATCCTTGATTGTTGTCAGTAGTGAAAGATTGATAGAGATAGCTACTATACAAAACGAGATACATCGCCATCAGAGAAAACCCCCAGATAGAGTAACTACGCCAAAGCTCGCCGTAGTTACACTCCTTTTGACGTCTGCGCCCTCCTGGTTGGGTGAGACATTGAATTAGGACCACCAAGTTAGCCGAGGTTCGTCGACCGTCGGTCTATTGGAAAGAAGTTTTTCGACGGCTGTGACAGTATCAAGGATCGCTCTTACCGACAACCCGCGCGAACCTCAGAGAAGTACAAGGAAAGATGGAGTCAGAAAGGCGAACCACGCGAAGTTTGAGCAGGGACAGGGAAGCGATCGAGGAGAATGAAAGGAGGGCATTGGAGGAGCTTAGTAGGGCGATGGGACAGCAACTGGGAGGAGAAGATAATACTGGAGGGTCAGTAGTAGGAGATGAGTTTGTTCCACCCATACCTTCTAATTCTCCTACCCCTCCACCTAATCCTCTCCCACCTGTGGGGTCCCCAATTGGGTCAGATCAAACCCCACGCCCAGGAGAAAATACCGGAGGTAGGAAAAACTTCGGAGAAGAAGGGACACAGGGGATGATGTTGGCTATGATGAGGTTGATGGCGGATATGAACAGCGAGATGGCAGCCGAGAGGAGACGTAGGGAAGAATGGGAACAGAGGAGAGAGAGAGAGACAGTTGGGGGAATTGGAGAGGGAATATCAGAAGGGGTGAGGTACGCCTTGGGACGCCAAACTTCGGCGTCCCCAAGCGTAGTTAGCGAGAGTAAAGGGATAAAGTTGCCTAACCCAGACCTCTGGAGAGGAGACAGACACAAATTAACCGCCTTCCTGTCTGAATGTGAAGTACACTTCGAATTGAACTCCCACCTTTTCCCCGACGACACTAGGAAGGTGTTCTTCATGATCTCCCATTTGCGCGGAACACCTCTCCTTGCGGTTCAGCCCGACCTGGCTAAAAGGCCTCTTCCTAATTACCTCACGGTATACAATCAGTTCGTCAAGTACCTCAAGACAAACTTCGGTGACCCCAATGAAGAAGGAACGGCGGCGCGTTTCTTAAATGATCTCAGACGAACCGGCTCAGCTTCGGAGTATTTCTCTGCCTTTCAACGACATGTCGCAATCCTCAAGTGGACTGACGACGGCAACCTGGTCGACAGGGCCAAGAAGGGGCTAAAATCACACCTACTAGATGAGATTGCAAGGCATGGGCGGTCGTTTGGGACTGTTAAAGAGTTATTGGAGTTCGTCATTCCCTTGGACAATTGTCTGTGGAGGAGGAAGGTAGAGAAAGACATGGAAAAGAAGAAAGAAACAGGGGTGAGGGAAGTGGTAGTGACGGATAGTCAGAGGGTGGAAAGGAAAGAGGAGAAGAGAGGGGAAGGGAGGCAAACTTCGGCACAGCCTGCGGTACAAGTGACTATTACGTCGACGCTGGTCAAGACCATTCCGTCGAATGCCGACAAACTTCGCCGACAATGGCCCAGGCCACCTCCCCAGCTGAGGGAGACAAGGAAGAAGGAAGGGAAGTGTACTGAGTGCGGGGAGAGGGGACATTGGTTGAAGGACTGCCCGGTGAGGGCAGCAAAGGTAAAAGTTGGATGGTTGCCTCCGTGGGGGGAGAAGTTCGGCGAACGTGGTGGAGGATCGGGGGGTAACGCGGTACCTCTTGGACAGAGGAGGAATCTGAATGCGGTAACAGGAGAATGGGAAGGGGAAGAAGAGCAGGGAAAAGACGAGGACCTGTTGCTGTAGGCAAGGCTCGGCGGGTCCGCCATATTCTCTCGGCCACCATTCCTAAGACCAGAAAGGAGACACAGCTGATGAAGCCAGAGGATTGTGAACACAAAAATACACCACTCAGTACCCCTTCTTTATGCAACATTGATAGTCACCTTCTCATCCCTTCCACTACAAAAGATCAACCAAAAACGGACATTTTTATCAATGGGACCAAACTAACCACGCTCTGGGACACTGGGGCTACTTGTTCATATATCAGCCCCTGGGCAGCGGCGAAGATAGGCGTTGAAAGGAGACGATACCCGGTGAGCGTACCCGTTCACATGTTTGATGGCTCAGTTAGTGTCGCTGGACCTATTACCGAGTTCGTCGAAGTTATGTTTGGTTTGACGAAGGACGCCGAAGGGCAATCTGTTTGTCTAGATGTGACTACTACCTGCGACGCAGACGTAGTGATAGGGTGGGATTGGATGAGGAGAGAAGGTGTTATTCTTGATGGAAAGGATAATGCGGTGAAATTTCCCATCCCAACCCCACCACCACCACCAAGGTCGGCGAGGTTGGCGGCCATAGGGCTACCAACTCCGACGGACGCAATAGACCTCCGAGACAAAGATGACCAGGATGAGCTGAGTCCGGAGGAACAGGAAGAGTTGTATTAGGTTGTTCCTGAACAATACCACTCGTTCATTGATGTTTTTAACCCGAGGAAGGGAGGTGAAGAATTACCCCCTTCTAGGGAATATGACCTGAAGTTTGATCTGAAGGAGGGGGTGAGCTTGAAAGTGGCTCCCCTCTATTCTCTTGGAGAAGATCAGAGAAGTGCGCTGAGAGACATTCTAGATCGCAAAATATCGGCCGGCAGAATTTGACCTGGTAACTCGCCGTACGGATCACCGATGTTCTTGGTACCAAAGAAAGCAAAAGGTCAATGGCGAATGGTCATTGACTATTGAAAGTTAAAAAAGTTACGGTACCGGACGCTTATCCATTACCTCTGATCGGGCAGATAACCAAGGAGCTGGGGAAAGCAAGGTATTTCAGCAAGCTAGATCTCATTGGAGCGTACCAGCTCTTACGGGTAAAGGACGGATTCGAACACCTGACAGCGTTCAGGACCCAATACGGTACGTTCGAATCCCTTGTTGTCTGTGATGGGCTTCGAAATGCTCCTGCTGTATTCCAGCATTTCCTGAATGAAAGTTTCAGAGAATTGCTAGGAAAAGGAGTAGTGGTTTATATAGATGATATACTCATCTATGGTCAAACGTTGGAAGAATTGAGGGAAACTACGGCGAAGGTATTCGAAGTTCTCCAAAGGTCGAACCTGTTTGTGAAGGCTAGTAAGTGCGAATTTGAAAGAGACTCTGTGATCTTCCTGGGTTTCATTGTCTCTCAGAGTGGGGTTTCAAGTAATCCAGAGTATGTTGATGCTGTGGTGTCTTTCCCTCGTCCTAAGAACCTCAGAGAGAGTAGGGGATTTATGGGAGTGGTCAGCTACTACTGTCGTTTTGTTCCTAACTTCTCCCGGATTGCTAAACCCATCAACGATCTCACAAGGAAAGATGTACCTTTTGTTTGGGGAGTCGAACAGGAAGAAGCTTTTAAAGAATTGAAGGATAGGATGTGTGGGGCTCCGGTATTGGCTCACTTTGATCCCTTGTTGAAGACCTTACTACGGACAGATGTGTCGTTCTTCGGCTGGGGTTTCATAATATCGCAGGTAAACAAATTAGGTCAGGAGCATCCAGTGGCCATAGAGTCGGGGGCTTTTCAAGCGGCTCAGCTGAACTACATGGTAGGAGAGAAGGAATTATTAGCTATCGTTGAAGCTTTCAGGAGAAGGAGACACTTACTACTGCAGGTAGAAACAATAGTTCTCACGGATCATTTGAAGCTGACCTGTTGGATGGAACCGAAGCAGCTAAGCCCTAGGCAGGGCAGGTGGGTCGAAGAGCTCTCTAACTTCAGGTTTAAAATGGTATATCGGCCTGGGAAACAGGCTACGCTACCAGACGGGCTTTCAAGGAGAGCCGATTACCATTTGGCGAAGGGAAGCACGATGGTGCAGGAGAGTAACCTTATCCAAGGTTTGCCGAAGTTCGACGAAGTTGACCAGACTACGTCTGGGTTACAACACCTTCTTCGAGCCTTGCAAGGAACTAAAGAGCTGAAAGACAGTGATTTAATTGAACCGGTAGATCTTGTTGAAGGACAGAAGGCAGAACAGGAAATAGAGGAAGGCAGAGCGGAGATGCTTGGCTTAATATGTTCTGAGTGTTCTCACAATACCTGTTGAGATAACGTACAGGAACCCAGGTCAGTGACCGAACTTCGGCGGAGTTTGCGGTCACCACTAATACTTCGAGCCGGTTGGTCGGGGAAGGGCTTCTTTACATTCGATAGTCAAATATATGTGCCGAACTACGCCGATGCTCGGCTTGAGATTATGAAGGCTCGACATGACTCGATTCTGGCTGGACATCCTGGGGTAGCCAAAACCCTAGAGTTGGTCATGAGGGATTATGTCTGGACAGAAGCCGCATGGTGAGCTTAAACCACTTCAAGTTGCGACCAAACCATGGTCCAGCATATCTATGGACTTCATCGAAGAATTACCAAATTCTCAGGGATACAACTCCATCCTGGTGGTGGTCGACCGGTTGACCAAATGGGCAGTTTTTATCCCAACTACGACGAAGTTAACCGCAGCTGGACTATCAGAGCTGATAATGGACTATGTGGTGGCCCAGCATGGGTTACCAGAGAGTATAGTATTGGATAGAGGGTCGAAGTTTACTTTGAAGTTTTGGAAGAACTTAACCGATAGTCTCGGGATAAGACTACATCTCTCTACCGCGTATCATCCACAGACTGATGGACAGACCGAGCGAACCAATCAATCCTTGGAGTTATACCTTCGAATCTTCACTTCCTATCAGCACAACGACTGGTCAAAGCTCCTTGGACGGGCAAGCTTCACCTACAACAACACCCATCACTCCGCAATAGATAAGACTCCATTTTATGCGAACTACGGGTACCATCCTCGGTGGGCTGAGGAGATCAAGACTAGTGATGTCAAAGTACCTGCTGCTACAATGGTGGTCAGGGATTTGACGGAGATACATAAAGAATGTAAGGAATCGAGAAGGCTAATGAGAAGTACGCCGAAGGATATAATAGGAAACACCGAACTACGCCAAACTTTGCGGAAGGTGACCTAGTTATGCTGTTGTTAGAGAATATTAAGACCAAAAGACCGATGAAGAAACTGGATGTTAAACAAAGTGGGCCGTACAAGGTAGTACGGCAGGTAGGTTCTCATGCGTGTAAACTAGAGCTACCAGGAACGATGGCAGGTATCCATGATGTATTCCATGTTTCATTACTCCGCCCTTATCATCCTCCAAGTTTTCCTGGGTCAGCTAGCTGAACCACCTGCCCCAGTAGAAGTAGATAACGAAGGGGAGTCGTGTGTTACAACCTGAGAGCTAGGCAGTGACCTAACCTAACTTCAGTGGATGACAGCAAAGAGATACAAAGTGATAGCGTAGAGTGGATTGGACGATGATGAAGAACACCTCAGTGTAGACGCGTTATGGCGTAAGTCACTTAAGCAATTGGGATTGGTGGAGTGGGTGGCAAAGTTTGTGAGAGTAACTTATGAGAATTCATCGACGAGGAAAGAGCCCTCGTGAAGGGGGTTTATATAGACAGCACTTTCTACACGGTATCACCTTGAGTAAGACTATTCTGACCAATCACATAAATGCCTCAGTGTAACGGTACTGGAAACACGACGACTAAGTCGCAGGTTGGGTCGAACTCGATGGATGTCTCGTGGAAATCTAGGGGCTCTGGTGCTAATGAATCGTGTCTCCTCTGCAATCGATGTAGCCAAAGAATGATATTGAAGAATCAGCAAAGTTGGTACTTTGCTGATTGTACTATATACTGTCTACAGGTATCCGTCTCCTTCTTCTCTCAGTCCTACTGTAAGCGTCTATGTACATACTCGGACAGGTGAAAAACCGCTTTGAGCAAACCCAGTGGGAAAATCTCGAAAGGGGAAAACCCGTCCCTACCTACTGCAGCACTGCCTCCAACTCCCGCTTTCCTCTATCCTAATCCGTCGAACTCGATAGAGTTCTCTCGATTCGTTGTTACCCTGTAACACTCAGCCAACCCGTGAGTTACGGAGTAAACCGTAATGCACGGTTTAACCGTGTTATACGGAGTGAACCGTGCTGTACAGAGTAAACCGTGCTGTACGGATCAAACCATGATGTACGGAGTAAACCGTGCCATACGGATAGGATGTTCCTGAGGTTATGATACAGGCAGTGTCATAACATCGTGGGAAGTGAAAGACATTGTAGAATCTAGAATTAATAAGAGGTCAGGGAAGTTAGAGTACCTCGTAGAATGGTTAGGCTACGAAGGAATGGACGACGCAGTGTCGTGGGAACCAGTGGAGAATGTGGATGGAGCTGACAACATATTGGCAAAGTTCCACGAACTTCACCCGAATAAGCCGAAGAAGGGAAGAGCAATTCGATCGCGGATGAGACAGTAGTTCATACAACGGAGTACAACATCAGCTAAGTACAACTCACTGCGTCGAACCTTGTCCACTTTCCTCTTGGCCTCCTACCTCCTGCCTATCCCCCGAATTGTTCCCCCGGTTCGCTTGTCCTACGCGTCGTATTGCCCAAGCCTCCTTCCATGCAGCATTAAGAGCTCCAATGTGAGCTGCGTGAAGTGAAGGATCACGAGCAGCGGTGAGGCTGGGAGACTTCCACAGTTGCCGAAGGGTACGGAGACACTCGAGCGGGAGAACTAGGACATTGAGAAAGGCGGCATCCTGAGAGCTGAGTCGAGAAGGCTTTGACGTCTTTAGCCAATCGAGTGTCGGTGGAAGCTCGAATTCAACGGGATTCAGGACGAAGGGTGTTTCATACAATGTCCGACAAAAGTCGTTCATCGACGTTAACTGTTCACGAGACACCCTAGCTAACTCAGTGCGAGAGGAAGGACCAACATCGGATGAATTCACCACCGTCGCTATGGAAGTTGACAGAGCGTTAAGGGTCGATACGAGTCTCATGTTGTATTCGAGGAGGGCGGACGTATCTTTCCTCTTGGCTTGGAGCTCAGTAGTCAAACCAATGATGGTGGAATAGAAGGTAGCCAATTGTTTCTCTTCATCAGGGACGCGAGGATCTTCAGAGATGAAGGGGTGGACTAATGGAGGAATCTCCTCTGATTACTGAGTACCTTCCTCTGTCCCCTCTACTTCTTGGTCAAAGGATACAGCTTTCTTTTTCCCTTTTCCTTTAGGTGACTTGGACAAAGGGGTTTTGACGGAAGAGAGAGCGCTGGGGAGACCGGAAGAAGGAGGAAGAGATGGTTGGCGGCTGTGAGTCCCATGAGCAGGGGGTGAACTCGGAGCAGGAGACGGCAAAGGGCGAGTGGCAGGGGTGGGCCGGCTTCGGACAGGAGGGAACGGACCAGCCAAAGGAGTGGCAGTGGGCCTAGACCCAGGAGAGCGACGGGGTGTCGGGCGAGAAGGGCCAGCGACAGCAGGAGATGGGGGACGAGTGAGACGTTCGATATCCTCATCGGCCGGCAGGGGTCGGGATGAGCCGACTGTCGGAGGAGAAGGACGAGAAGAGGCTGAGTTCGCCGAAGGAACGGGAGAAGGAAAGCCGTCATCGTTGGCGGTGGGAAGGCGGCGCCGCATGGAGGGAGACGGGGTGGCCGGAGTGGACTGAAAGCGCTTCTGTCTGTCACCTAACGTTGATGTTGGACACGGGGATAGAGGAAAAGTGTCAGGTGGTGCGAGAAAGGGGACTAGGGGTAATAGGAGAGGATGTGGTATTGGAAAAGAAGTATGACTACTACACTCCCGTAAGCAGGTATCCGTGATCCTGACAGTTGTGATGACAGCAGGGAACCTGAATAAACGTCCCCTTCCTGTGAAACAGGAGGTAAGGTCTTAAGGTTATGGAGTCATTGCTATGTGTTACGGGGTAACAACGAATCGAGGGAACTCTATCGAGTTCGACGGATTAGGACAGAGGAAAGCGGGAGTTGGAGGCAGTGCTGCAGTAGGTAGGGACGGGTTTTCCCCTTTCGAGATTTTCCCCACTGGGTTTGCTCAAAGCGGTTTTTCACCTGTCCGAGTATGTACATGGACGCTTGCAGTAGGACTGAGAAGAGGAGACGGATACCTGTAGACAGTATATAGTACAATCAGCAAAGTACCAACTTTGCTGATTCTTCAATATCATTCTTTGGCTACATCGATTGCAGAGGAGACACGATCCATTAAGCACCAGAGCCCCTAGACTTCCACGAGACCTCCATCGAGTTCGACCCAACCTGCGACCTAGTCGTCGTGTTTCCAGTACCGTTACAAGTTGAAGAATCAGCCTTACGCACCTTGGGTCGAATCGGAGAGTACTGTATGCTCACCAGAGGGAAAGCGCGGAAAATGATACCAGAAAAAGAGGAGTTGGAACAAGGGCTGGTCCCAGAGGAAGAAATACCAACAAGTTCTTCGAGAAGTACCATTTCACATGATCTCACTTCTACTACCACTACCCCAGATCCGCTAAATGAATTATCGCAGCAGTTGTCACAATTGTTAGCCATTATGACGATGCAACAAAAGGAACAAAATACATTAAGGGAAGAACTGGCTACGATGAAAGCTGACCGACAGAACCAACAGATACTCACATCGAAAGGGGCAAGTTTGATCGAAGTCGAAGAAAACAAGCCGTGTTTGGAGCCAAAACTTACCAACAACGAACGAACAGGAAGAACCAGGTGTGCGGATCCACCTACTTTCAGTGGAGAACGAGGAGAATTGGACAACTTCCTTGCAGCATGTCACATGAACTTCGAATTCAAAGGGGCAGAGTACGCCACCGATCGCAGAAAGATCCTGTTCATGTACGGGTATCTTCGAGGCACCCCTCAAATGCTTATAACCCCGGCCATAACCAATCCAAGTATATGGAATTCGACCGAATGGCTAGAGAGCTACGACAAATTCATTCAGCATTTACGAACTCAATTTGGAGATAGTAACATGGCAGGTACGGCTATGAGGAAATTGCAAGAGTTAAGACAGACTGATACGGCCGCCGAGTATTTTGCCAACTTCGAACTTTGGTCCACACACCTTGGAAAGGTACCAGATGCAATGAAAATCGCCTCAGCCATACAGGGCCTGAAGGAAGAGCTACTGAAGGTGGTAGTGGTAAATAACACCGACCCTCGAACCAAATCGGACTGGATCTATTTCAAACAGCATGTGATAGGGACTGAGGAGAACCAACGGATGGCTGAAACGATGATTGCAGCGAATCGATGGGCTGCTAGACGCAAACATGAGACGACCTGGCTTCCCCCTCGATCGAATTCGATGCGATTGGATACTAGTTTGCCCAACCCGGTAGAACGCTACTCACAATCGACTGGTAGAGGACCCTTGCCCGGTGGAAAACCAGGGATGATGAATTATGGTCTACCAAATGACCCTCCGGTCACCTGGACAGAGGACGGAGGACGTCTCAGCGAGAACGAAATGACTTGGAGGAGGGAGAACCGACGTTGTCTCAAATGTAGAAGTCCAGAACATTACGCCAACAACTGTCCAAATGGAGGAAATACGAGAAACAACATTAGGGGATCCCCAAACCCGCATAGCTCACCGATTCCTAGTGGATCGAACTCGATCCCAACTGGGTCCAAAGGGCCATTAGTTCGAGGAATGGCGGTGACCTTTGAAGAAGAGGGAAACGACTACCTGGCCTAAGTGATGCGACCACTTGCGGCCAGGATCTGCCCGGATCGCAGAGAATTCAAATACCAATAGATCTCAGTAATGACTCGGCCATAATATATATAAAAATACAAACAAAGAAAGATACCCTACAGATTGGAATGTTAATCGATACCGGGGCTACAGGAAGGTATGTGCAGCCGGCCTGTCCATTATACCATCTATTCCCAAAGAAACAATATCAGGTACCACGAAAAATTAGGTTCCTGGATGGAACTACCGCGACCTTAGTGACCGAATATTTAGAAGCAGAATTAGATCTAGGAAAAGGACTCAGGATTGCAACTCGACTGGATGTTATGGCATACGAAGGACCAGAAGTACTAGTAGGACTAGATTTCTTGAGACAGTTTAGGGCAAGGATCGATTGTGGAAAGGGACTGATCGAATTCGACGGAATTGGACGAGATACTGGTTGGAAATACCCAAGATTAGAAGAAGGATTAATAAGAGGGGCAACACTGGAGAAAGGGGAGGACGAAATGAGTGAGGAGGAACTGCGACAAATCATACCGACACAATGGCACCAATACCTCGAATTATTCAAGGTAGAAAGAGCAAGAAGACTACCACCAAGAAGAGAATGTGACCACGAAATCGAATTAGTAGCAGGGGCTGAACTAAAACCAGGACCAATTTACCAACTGGACGAGCATGGGGATGCTTTCCTGAAGCAGTGGATCAATGATGGACTGACTAGTGGACATCTGCGAAGAAGTAAATCGCCCTATGGGTCCCCAGTATTCCTGGTCCCCAAGAAAGGAGTCATTCCCTATCGAGTAGTTACAGATTACCGGGCACTTAACAAGGTAACCATCAAGGATTCATACCCAATGCCACTCATCTCGACACTACTCGATCGACTTCAATTAGGAAGGATCTTCACTAAACTCGATTTGAAAGGGGCTTACCAGTTAGTCAGAATAAAGGAAGGAGATGAACATAAAGCTGCCTTACGAACAAGATACGGCAGTTTCGAGAGCACCGTCCTAAGGGATGGGTTGTGTAATGCACCAGCCACCTTTCAGAACTTTCTACAAGACATGTTTCACGATCTACTTGACGAAGGGGTAGTAGTTTATATCGACGACATCACGGTATACTCCGACACGATCGAAAACCATCAGATCATTGTCCAAAAGGTGTTAGATCGACTACTTGAAAACGATTTGGTCGTCAGTCCGAGGAAATGCGAATGGAGTTCAAATGAAGTGAAGTTCCTGGGGTACGTAATAGGACACGAACGGATCGAAATGGATCAAGAAAAGGTGAAAGCTATTCTAGAATGGGGAGAACCCATGACAGTCCGGGATACTCAAGTGTTCTTGGGTTTTGCGAATTTCTATCGGAGGTTTATCAAGGGGTTTTCGCATATTGTGGGACCTCTCACACGATTGACTAGGAAGGATCAAGCTTGGAACTGGACACAAGAATGCCAAAAGGCTTTTGACGAGCTAAAGAAAACATTCACCACAGCACCAGTACTTCGACATTTTGATAGAACCCGACCGACTTGGATTGAAACCGATGGATCCGATTGCGCGATAGGTGCGATAGCGTCTCAGAGATTTCCTCACCCATCAATAAAAGGAACCACCGAGCTTCACCCAGTAGCGTACTGGTCTCGAGCAATGACGCCCTGTGAGCTAAACTACACGGTGGGAGAGAAGAATTATTAGCCATCGTGGATTGCTTGGTCGCCTGGAGACCCTACTTGGCTAACAGTAGTGATGTT